GTGAAAACAAGAGACACAAACTCTGTGTCCTGAAGTTCATTATGTTTTATTATCACTGTTCAGTTATCATTTATGCTTCAAAAGGTAGTGACAGTCTAAGTGAAAAAAGCCAACTATATATATTTTTCACAAAGCTTCAGAAGGGAGAGATGGCTGTGGCTCAGCCGTCTCAACAGGAAGGTCGAGTGTTTGATCCCCAGCTGCTGCAGCCACATGTCCGATGTGTGAAAAGACACTTAACCCCAAGTTGCTCCCGCTGCTTCGTCGGCGGTGTATAAATGTGTAAAAGCGCTTTTAGCAGTCAGAAGACTAGAAAATAAATAAAGTGTCTATTTACAGTGTGGTTAAATAATGGTGAAACCGGGATTATTCCTCAGACTATAACTGGAATGTCAGACAAGAATCCAGCAGTAGACCTCCATATGTGACCTCAGAAACCTGACTCATTGAGCGACCATCGATCTTAACATCTCATGCAGTTGATGCACGATGTCGACCAGAAGAGAAACGTATAAACATAGTTTTTTAATCATCAGAGTCAAACACAAATTCTGGAGCCAACACGCAGTGTGTTGATAATTAGTGTGAAAGGACACTTCCTGTTCACACATGCAGCTCAGCCTGATGAGGTCAGGACATTTTAAGAGAGCAGGGCATGTTTTAAAGAGGCTTTAAAGAGAAGATTACTTTAATACATATATGATCAAGTTCTGGTTTGTACTTTTTGTAAGAAATAGAATCAAAATAATCATCACATGAGAAGAATAACTGCAGCATTTCTTGGTAGACTTTGATCTCTTAACATTTCTACCAGCTGTTTCATGTTTGACCTTCCACTCCTGTAATGTGTGGAGAACAAATTCATTAGATATAAAACTGAAATAAACTTTAGTGTGATTCCTCTGTCAGTCCCTGATGGATGAAGCTCTCCTCAGCTTTCAGAGCTTCTCCACCCACAAGATTAGGGGCGGCAGTAGCTCAGTCTGTAGGGACTTGGGTTGGGAACCTGGTTGCTGGTTCAAGTCCCGGTGCGGTGTAGAGGTGCCAGATCACCCCCTCCCCGTCACCGTCACTAAGTCCTTTAGTGCATGTCCATAGCATCCTGTTTCTGCATGTGTGTATATTTCAGCCTATGTGTGTGTTGCATGACTACAGAGTGTAAAAACTGAAATAAAAGTAAATCTTAATCTTAAATCTTAAAATGGTGGAGGTTCATTCTCTGTGGATCATCAGGACACAGCTGCTCCTCTCTTCACCACCAGCATCCTGATCGCTCACATTCTGTCAGAGATCATCATCATCATGATCCCAGCTAATGAGAGAAGAGAGATCACAGAAATCATTTTCTACACAGACTCCCGTCATCAGATTCCCCCACAGCGCTGTAACAAAGCACCGCCCTCACTCCACCTTTGTACTTTAACACTGAACAGTTTCATATTGGTGTCTGAGTGTGTGATTTTACTTTGAGTTATGGGAGCTTCATGTCCACACACACTCAGACACACACACCTGTTACTCCCTCTGCTGACGGCTCAGCTGCAGAACAACATGGCCTCCATGACTTTCATACAGACAGCCAGGTGTAACAGTCCCGTCTTGAACAGGCTGTATAAAAGGGGCTGATGATTTAACACTCCATGTTGATTTGTACTTTACTGTATTTCTAATAAATCAAGTTCTCTGGTGAATTTCTCCTCAGAGAACAAAAGAACCTCCAGGCTTTGGTTGACCCCACACAGTGTTTGTTAGATAGAAACCTGAGCAGAAAACATTTGAAAGACATTTGAACATTTGAACGTTCAGAAAGAGATGAACTTTAGGAAGAAGCTCTAGTGTTTCTGTGAGGGAGTGACTGTGTCTGACTTTAATAAAACAATCCACAACATATTTTTACATCCACCTCAAAGTGTTCACAGAATGAGCTGCTAACAACGTTCTTACAGAGACAGAAGTTTCATCTCTCTTCATGCTCTGAAGATCAGGTCTTTGTGATCCCTGCAACCTGAACAAAACTAGAAAGAGTTCCTAATAAGCAGCTTGATAGGTTGATAAAAAAGGCTGGTTCTGTTTGAGGCAGGCGTCTGGACTCACTGAGGATCGAGGTGGAGAGACACATTTGGAGGAGAGGACAGCTTATATTGGACAACGTTAGCCATCCTCTCCACGACTTCATGGCAGGTCAGAGAAGTCTCTGCAGTGGACGGTTCATTTCACTGCCCTGCAGGACTGAGAGGTCAGGAGATCCTTTGTCCCCACAGACATTAGGCTTCATAACACACAGGTTAACGGTAGCAGCTCATGATTGGAGCTGTGGGTAAACCGTCACTGCCTGCCTTTCCTCCTCTTTCTCCTGAACACTCTCTCACCCCGGGGATTGGTGAAATAATAACAACTATTTAGGACTTGGAGTGGAAAAATACTATCTGTCTGTCGTCTTCGTTTGACCTTAAAAGATTAGGATGTTTGTGCGTCATTTAGCAATTAGAAACTGTTTCTCTGTATGGCCTTGGTCTGTATCTCCAACAGGAACACTCCTCAGTATCTGGGTACAGCATGATCCTAAATCAGTGCCCTCCGAACAAAGGAGTTTCTGTTGGTGTTAGATAAATCACCAGGCAAACAAGCAGAAGGCGTAGTCACTAGGGCAAGCTGAAACCAATGACGATGTATTACTCATGTCTATGTAATTTACCTACACCCTGTGAAATCTTTGATGCACTTGTGACTGATGTTACTTTTGTAGCTGATTACCCCTTTTGCAAAAGAACTCTTTACTATATGCAATAAAATACACAAAGACAAAATACTTTGACTTGAGATCTTTCATTACCAACAGAAAAATCCACAACAGACTGCAGAGACTTTTACTGTTTTAATGATCTGTTCATTTCATCTTCACTGTTTGTTCAATGTTTGAACTTCTATGTGTGAGCTACGGGATACTCCCAAATTTACCCCAGGGGCTGAATCAATCTATCTGCTCCAGAGCAGGTTATGTTGGAGAACAACCTGTGAAAATCTCCACCCCCTGACCAATCAGATCTCTTGATGGTGGAGCTCTGTGAGCTGATAGAGAGAGAGCGCGACAAACACTTCATGTGTCCTGTATGATTTTACATTTAGTCCTTAAAGTGAATGATTATTTGGTACAGATATCCTTTATCCTTTAACAGAGACTGAAAAAACACTGTCCATTAACTGTAGGCTATTTAAAAATGTACAGCCTATATAAGTAGACCTAATATCTCAATTAACTAATGGTGACATAAAATCATTAAACTTATTCTCTAACTCTAATCATTACATGTCAATAATAGCTTAGCAGGTTGGCATCAAATGTGAGGTAAACATCTCAAATGATTTTAAATGATTAAGATGAGAATGTAAATAAGCTGCTCAGAGTGCAAGTATCAACGCCCTCAAAAATGTTAACATAATTATAGTAAACATTTCTAATCTAAGATGATGTAAACTCTTTATTTGTCATCAATAGTGTGCATATATAATGAGCATATACTGTAGGCTACATATTTTTATTTTAGGTAACACCTAGCCTATATGTTTGAGGTGTTACTCTTCAAAGAAGTAATGACCAGTATGTTGTGTATGTGTGTGTTTAATAATCATATATACCAGGGACTGTCCTCTGTAGCTTTGTTACCGAAAAAAAGACATGTATCAAATTATTTCAGTCAACAACCTGTTTGTTTTTGAATGCTTAACTTATCAGACAGAATTGTTAATAACTGCCTTACATCCATCTCCAGTGATCTGACTCAGAGGAGTGTGATTCTGATGTCTGGACCCAAACCAACAAGAAACTTAAATAGCGGCTGATTTTCATTTCCAGAGCTTTCCAGAAAGGTACATCAGCCATACATGATGGTGATAATGAAGCTTCTATGGATTCAATATCGTTTGATTTCAAATTGAAATTGTTGCTCACTGGTTAAATGACTGACATTTACTCTTTAAGCAGCAGTTTATGATATCTGGTGATTAAATCAGCCTTTATTTCTGCCACCTTTTAAAATCTATATGCCACCTCTTTGCCACCCCATGGATTTTTCTCTAGATCCCCCCCCTCCGGGTTTACTTATCAGGTTGATAACCAGCTTCATGTGACTGTTCAGCACGATCTCTTATGTCAGGGTTAGTGAAGCTAGATAACAGAAAAATAAACCCTGGGTATGTTGATCTGCCTTTGTAGTATAGACCCCAGAAAAGGATTTCTCCAACAAAAAACAAGAATCTAAACTCTATTTATGACCGGATATTTGGAGGGTTTACTAAAGAACACTGAGAGACTGACCTCAGAGTTTGGATTCTTCTCAAGATCTCTCAGCAGCTTCACGTCTGAATCCTGCAGCTTGTTGTAGTTCAGGTCCAGCTCTCTGAGATGGGAGGGGTTGGACTTCAGAGCTGAGGCCAGAGAAGAACAGCTGATCTCTGACAAACTGCAGCCACTCAATCTGAATAAAGAATAAAAGAAGAATAAATAATAATGCAATAATAATGTATAATCCACTCACATGTGTTCAGGTCAACATCACTTTGTTCTGATGAACAAAGTTTTCTCTAAATTATTAGAAGATCATTTCTGATTGTGTATTCACTAAATCTAAATCCTCCAAATGTCAGCACAACATTCATACAGCTGTTCATGTGCACAGATGAAGAACAGGCTGCTGATCTCAGTCAGGTCTGTGGTGTTAGTACATTTATCAAATCACACATTATTGAATCAAAAGTCTTCATGATTTCACTTCTTAACAGAACCAGAGGAAACCAGAGGCTTCATGTGCACGTTGTTCAACTTTACTTCACATAGTCAAAAAAACATTTTCACATCAAATCTTTTAAATTATTCAGGAAGGTGAAAAAAATAAAAAATCTCCTAAATAATTTTAGATTTACATTCAGACAAATACTGAAAATATATAAATCCTTAAATGTGCAACAATGGAGGATGTGGATTGAAATGATACAAATGAATGACACAGTCAGTGATCTGACCTCAGAGTTTCCAGTCTGCAGTTTGGACTCTGCAGATAATCATACAGCAGCTTCACTCCTGAATCCTGCAGCTTCTTGTTCCCACTCAGGTCCAGCTCTCTGAGATGGGAGGGGTTGGACTTCAGAGCTGAGGCCATAGAAGAACAGCTGATCTCTGACAAACTGCAGTACCACAATCTGAATAAAGAATGTAAATGTAGATGACAGTGAGCTTTATGCATGAATGTGTGATGTTGTCCACATGAACACACTGATGTGATCATCATCTGTTCATTCTAACATTTAAGGACTTGATTGTGATTCATTCATGTTTTTGTTCTTCCTGATCATTCTTAGATTCAAACACTCAAAGTTCCTGTGAGGAACTTTCATCACGTGTCCGTTTTGGCACCCCCTGTGGACAAAGTGAAACCTCTTTACTGATCTTGTCCTGTACAGTAATCCCTAACAAAATACTCCTCATGCTTTCTTTGAACTCTACAAACTACAAGTCAGTGTGAATCTCTTCTGTAGAGAATTTTCCGGACAGCGTCCTGTGATTCTCCTCATGTGACAGCGACCAGGTGGAAACATGAAGACTTTCAAAAGGACTTTATAATGTTGTTGGTCTCATTGACTTTAGCCAATCATCCAGAAAAATCCAGATTACTTTCAGTCTGTTCCATCAGCAGATCAAACCTCCTCACAGTACATTTTAAATCACAGAGTTTGTTTTTGTATATGATTATAAAAAACATCAACGGTATGAAAAAGAGGAAGAATTTATACTATTATTAAAGTTTTTTTACTATAAAGCAGATGATTTCCACTGGATTCTGGTTCCTGTTTGGCGACCAGGGCACTGGTCCATATGTGTTTGTGACATGTATTTACTTGTCATTATAGGTCAACACTTTTACAAAACGTGCTCAGTATCAGTGTTTGAAGTATTTAGGCTCAAAGTTTCTATGTGTGTTCTGTTTATTGTGGTAACTATTTTACAGATAATGAAGCCACTAGACAGATAAATCTTTCTTTAGATTCCCTTAATGGTGCTGGCTTCCATGATGAACATTAAATGGAAACATTCAGGTTATTATGACAAAAGATGTGTTCAGTTCAATGTTCTGTTCTTTACTACTTTGTGATGGAGTCAGCTTTTGATATCCATTGAAGTAGACCACAGAGGGATCCATTTGATTCATCCTTGTTGCTTTTTCAATTAAATATGTGTCTTGTTTGTATAGTTTGACATGAGTCACTTAAGGAAATGGTGGTGCATATATTCATTGAAAACTTCACTGTGCCATAAGTGTGATAAGTTCTGTTGGTTAACAATATCACCATCAAAAACAGGCTGAGAGAAAGAGAGAACTTTTCCAGGTTAACTTATCATGGAGAGTGTTTCAAACTCATGCCGAAGAAAAAATAAAATTTCACATCCTATCGACCTAAGCTTCCATTTCTGCTGAAATGTATACATACCTCAAACATAGAGGGCATGGACCCTTGCATACCTGTTATATTGTAGGATTATCAAGGCAAAAGAATTAAAGTGTCCGAGGAAATGACGTACAGTTTGTTGCCTTACCTCTTCATTCTTAAGTTTGCAATAATGGATTATTATTTGTATTTCTTTTCCTAAATAAAGCATAAAAACTGTGTTCTGATAACAATAATAATTTCATAATAAATAAATAAACAACTAAACAAAAAATCACAATATGAATATACTAGTAAAAGTTATTCACATTTATATTTAATTATAAGTTTATATTTGTATTTCTTCCACAAAGCATGAACAATGAAAACAGTTTCCTGAGGCTACAGGAATACAACGTCCACAGTAATGTCTTCATAATAATGAAACTGAATAATTAAACAATAAAGCTATAAAAACATATTTATATTTATTTATAGGTATATTTATAGTTCTTGCGCTCATCTAGCAGGTGGTGCTGTTTGTATCACAACATCCATTCACGCCAGACCACGCTTATCTTATGTCCGTCGCCCGGAATATCCAATAAGAACAGTGAAGAGGTGGCGTCGGACATCCGACCCCGCCTCTTTCCATGATCCACGGCGAGGGGTTATTGAATTACTCAGCAATTTGAAAAAAATAAGAAATCTATTAAATGATTAAATTTCCCGAGATTTAAATTCAGGCAAATACTGAAAATACATAAATCCTGAAATGTGCAACAATGGAGGATGTGGATTGAAATGATACAAATTAATGACACAGTCAGTGATCTGACCTCAGAGTCTCTAGTCTGCAGTTTGGACTCTGCAGATAATCACACAGCAGCTTCACTCCTGAATCCTGCAGCTTGTTGTCACTCAGGGTCAGCTGTCTGAGATGGGAGGGGTTGGACTTCAGAGCTGAGACCAGAGAAGAACAGCTGATCTCTGACAATTTGCAGTTCCTCAATCTGAATAAAGAATAAAATATGTAAATGTAGATGACAGTGAGCTTTATGCATGAATGTGTGATGTTGTCCACATGAACACACTGATGTAATCATCATCTGTTCGTTCCAACATTTAAGGACTTGATTGTGATTCATTCATGTTTTTGTTCTTCCTGATCATTCTTAGAGTCAAACACTCAAAGCTCCTGTGAGGAACTTTCATTGCGTGTCCGTTTTGGCGCCCCCTGTGGACAAAGTGATACCTCTTTACAAACTCTGACAAACTGCACTCCCTCAATCTGAATAAAGAATGAGAGAATAAAAATAATGTATAATCCACTCACATGTGTTCAGGTCAACATCACTTTGTCCTGATGAATAAAGTTTTCTCTGAATGAGGATCATTTCTGATTGTGTATTCACTAAATCTAAATCCTCCAAATGTCAGCACAACATTCATACAGCTGTTCATGTGCACAGATGAAGAACAGGCTGCTGATCTCAGTCAGGTCTGTGATGTTAGTACATTTATCAAATCACACATTATTGAATCAAAAGTCTTCATGATTTCACTTCTTAACAGAACAAGAGGAAACCAGAGGCTTCATGTGCACATTGTTTTTCATCTTCATGAAGAGTTTGAAACTTTTCTCCACATTATCAGAAATCTCTGCATGAAGATGATTCCTAAATCTGGAATACTTTGACAGGATATAAAAACGTTTTAAAAACTCAATCTAAACTTGTTCTAAATGATAAACTCTCTGACTGACCTTCCTCCTTTGTGTTTATTTTTGAACTCTTCAAGCAGAAAACTATCCCATCATATATTTCATATCTGTCTGTGTTTGTGTGATTGTAAGTGTGTCTGTTAAGTAATGCTGTTTTGGATGTTTGTGTATTACTTTGTATTTGTGTTAGGACCCCCTTAAAGATGAGACGATGCATCTCAAGCTGCTAACCTTTAATACATTCAAACACAGTTTCTATTACAGACATATATATATATATTACAGTCAGTGATCTGACCTCAGAGTTTCCAGTCTGCAGTTTGGACTCTGCAGTCCCTCACACAGCAGCTTCACTCCTGAATCCTGCAGATCGTTGTTACTCAGGTTCAGCTCTCTGAGATGGGAGGGGTTGGACTTCAGAGCTGAGGCCACGACGTCACAGTGAGTCTCTGAGAGTCTACAGCCAGAAAGTCTGTTGAGACACATGTAACAGAGAAATATGACTCAAAAAAGAAGCGTTTGATATATACGTCTCACATTTGATGATTAAACAGTTTGTCATGTTCTGTTTGGTCTTAACTTTACACATCAGTAGAATCTGTCACTGACACAAAAAGTCTCATCACTCGTTTTCAAACCTTCACATTTTTCATCTTTCAATCATTCACTAAATGTTGCAGATGAATGGAAACAAATGTAGTTTTATTTAGGATGACATCATGTCTATAGTCTGTGATCTAAAGTGTGATCTATTCAGAGGACTTTCTCTGGATTAGAAAACCATATGAAACTCATTGAACAGTAACTCTAGAGGAGGAGGATCTCATTCTCGTGCCGTCTGGCTCTCTTCTATAAACGGGAAAATACAGTGACTGCTGCAGAATGATCCAGAAATCAAATAAATCAGCCAAGAATAATATGTAGTGAGGTTAAGGATCTCCTTCCAGAACAGTTTTTCTGTGATCTACCTGCTGAGATTTTAAGGGATGATTCTCATGATTGATTTTTAATGCCTGCAAAGCTGGAAGGGGCACTCACAGCATCTGATGGGCCTTCATCAAACCAACCCCTACACCCTACACCCTCCCCCTCCGTGAGTGCACTCTGTTAGAAGTCACTCTCGCAGCTGAATGAAGCCCCCTTCATCAAGATGTAGGGTAGAAATACAGTGGCAGGCTTTGGGAAAAACTTCTCTCTCTCAGGCAGAAACAGGAACTGTGTGTTACCATGGTTTCTCAGCGGCCTCTTGCGGAGCGGCTTATTTGTTAGCTAATACATTCTATGAAAATTCTCCTTATTCTTCTTCAGTAAGTTATATAAGTGTAGAATATTTAATTTGATTTCAGACAACAGGTTGTCCTAAATGAATGCAAAGACAAGGAGACTATTGTTGAACATCAGAGCAGCAAAAAGTGTATTTTTTGTTGTAACTTAAGTTTGTATTGAGATTTTACAAAGACATAAAAAGTAGAAAAATTAGAAATAAATATGAACAGTGAGAAGTTGTCTGCAACATGATTTAATATTCTTTTGTTTTCGCAACAGTCCCTGTAAATATAAAAGACTTTAGGATAAAATAAACACCTCAACTGAAGGAAGAAAGAAGAGTAAGCCTATATTTGATCCTCAATACAATACACATTTGAAGTTGTTAAAGTCTGTATGAGAATATTAAGTGTCTAAGAGCAGTGTTTGGAGGCACTTGCATGGAACTCACAGGTTGCTTCCTCCATGACGTCGACCGGATACAATAGGTGCTGCAAGTGATCCGAAAGTCGGCATCGTTGCAGACTCACTGCTGGAGGGTTTTATAACCCACTCCCTGCTAATTGGTTTGGGACAAACTTAATATGGCGGACCCTCCACGTGGACACGCAAACGGAGGGGTGGTGGGTAGGGAGAGGGAGTAGTGGCTTGTTTGAAAAAGACCTGATATCTACCTTTTCAGGGATGAACACTATCAGCCAGCTCCTGAATGTGTTCACAAAAGCAATTTTTGAACTCAGGACAAAAAGCTAAAAAACATCACGTGTGAAAAAGATTGGACTTACCCTGCCTTCCTGCAGTTCCTCACAGCTGGAATCAGTCTCAATCGTCCCTGGTCTGATGTCTTGTACTTCTTCAGGTACAACTCATCCAGAACCTCCTCGGACATCTGCAGCATGTAGGCCAGAGCAGAGCAGTGGATATCAGAGAGTTCCTTCTTTGATCTGTTCTCTGACTTCAGGAACTCTTGGATCTCCTGATGGACTGAGAGGTCGTTGATCTCCGTCAGACAGTGGAAGATGTTGATGCTTCTGTCAGGAGAGATACCTCTACTGTTCATCTCCTTCAGGTTGTTGATAACTCTTTGGATCATTTCTGGACTGTTGTCTGTCTGACCCAGCAGGCCTCTTAAGAGTCTCTGGTTTGACTTCAAAGAGAGTCCATGAAGGAAGCGAACAAACAGGTCCAGGTGACCATTTTTACTCCTCATGGATTTCTTCATTGCTTCATTTAGGAGAACATCAAGAGTTGAATCTATGTTTGTTTCTCCCAGAAAAGCCTTCAGAACTGTTGTGTTCCTGTTGGTGAAACAGTGGAACATGTAGACTGCAGCCAGAAACTCTTGAACGCTCAGATGAACAAAGCAGTAGACTGTTTTCTGGAAGATCACACACTCTGTTTTGAAGATCTCTGTACAAACTCCTGAGTACACTGAGGCCTCTGTGACATCCAGACCACACCGCTCCAGGTCTTCTTGGTAGAACATGATGTTTCCACCCTCCAGATGTTCAAACGCCAGCCTCCCCAGCTTCAGAAGAACTTCCCTGTCAGCCTCCATCAGCTCATGTGGACTCATCTGAAGTCCCTCACCATACTTGTTCTTCTTCCTCTTCGTCTGAACCAGCAGGAAGTGTGAGTACATGTCAGTCAGGGTCTTGGGCAGCTCTCCTCTCTGCTCTCTGCTCATCATGTGATCCAGAACTGTGGCAGTGATCCAGCAGAAGACCGGGATCAGACACATGATGTGGAGGCTCCTGGATGTCTTGATGTGTGAGATGATTCTGCTGGACAGATCTTCATCATCACTGAACCTCCTCCTGAAGTACTCCTCCTTCTGGGCGTCAGTGAAGCCTTGTACTTCTGTTACCCTGTCAACACATGAAGGAGGGATCTGATTGGCTGCTGCAGGTCGAGAAGTTATCCAGATGAGAGCTGAGGGGAGCAGATTCCCCTTGATGAGGTTTGTGAACAGTGTGTTTAACGATGACTTCTGTGTGATATCAGAAACAACCTCACTGTTTGTGAAGTCCAATGACGGTCTGCTTTCATCCAGGCCGTCAAAGATGAACAACAGTTTACAGACAGCGAGCGTCTCTGCTGTGACCTTCTGTAATGTTGGATGGAAAACACGGAGCAGCTCAAGAAGACTGTACTCCTTATCTCTGATCAAGTTCAGCTCCCTGAATGAAAGCAGGATCACCAGACTGAGGTCTTGGTTCTCTGAGCCGTCTGCCCAGTCCAGAGTGAACTTCTGTACTGAGAAGGTTTTTCCAACACCAGCGACGCCGTTTGTCAGAACCACTCTGATGGGTTTCTGTTGGTCGGGTTGAGCTTCTGTCTTCTGGTTCTGTTGGTCGGGTTGAGCTTCTGTCTTTTGTTTCTGTTGGTCGGGTTGAGCTTCTGTCTTTTGGTTCTGTTGGTCGGGTAAGGCTTTAAAGATATCCTGACACTTGATTGGAGTCTCATGGAGGGTCTTCTTTTTAGAGTCTGTCTCAATCTGTCTCACCTCATGTTGGGTGTTCACCTCTTCACTCTGTCCCTCTGTGATGTAGAGCTCAGTGTAGATCCTGTTGAGGAGGGTTCTACTTCCTGTTTCATCACTTCCTTCAGTCACACATTCACATCTCCTCCTCAGACTGACCTTATGTTCATCTGTAACCTCCTGCAGACCTCTAGCAACTGAAAGAGAGAATGATAGAATCTGATTATTGTTTTCAAATGTTTTTGTAAAAGAAGTAAATAAGAGTTTTAATTTCTATACTTTTTACATTTACCAATAAAAGTCCTGTTTTAGGAGGAGATCACAGAAGCAGAAAGGTGTACAGTCTTACTTTGTTCAGTGCTGCTCTGACTGACTGTCTGCAGTCCAGGTCCTGTTCTGGATCTTTTTCCACACTGAGGACAGGACGAGTCTCGTGGTGAACCAGACTGGTCCCAGTATGAGGTGATGCACTGTCTGCAGAACCAGTGTCCACAGCTGGTAGAGACGGGATCCTTCAGGACGTCCTGACACACAGGACAGGACGGCTGCTCCTCTATAACATGAGTCCTCTTCGTCCCCCTGTGAAGACATGTCTTTAGAACTAAACTGATCGTTGACTGGTAGAAAAAATTCAGATTTATTAAACACGATCTAAACACTCAGCTGATCATAGAGAGCAGGTAACGCCTTCTTTGTATTCAGCTCATAGTCTGCAGTCAGATGATTGTTTCTTGTGTTTTAAGCCTCCTGCTTTCATAAAGACTAAAGAACAACATTTTCTCTCTCGCTGTCTTTTGAAATATTAACGACTCAATATTATACCGCTGAAACCGTTACCATAAAAGCGATAAAAGCTGCGCCATTTACAGACATGAAGACAAGCTCCGTGCTGCTGTGGACGGCTTTGGAGCAAGAAGGTCTTAAAGGCTCTTAAAAAAGTCCCAGCTAAAGAATTTCACCTCAGCTAAAGTAAAGACTTAGTTTATCATCTTCTCTACACTTTACCTGTCACACAGCCTTTTCCTCTGGCTCTCTGGTTTCTCAAATACCTTCTCACATATGACCACACAGAATCATATCAGATGATGATGGAAAAGACTAAACGGAGACAATAAGTCTTTGAAACAGGGGCCGTGCTGAGCGACATCTTCTGTTGGTAATAAACGTACTAATGAGAAGTAGGAGGATAAGGAGCAGGTCCAGAGGTTTGAAAGAGTCCTCTTAGATTAGATTACAGCGTTACAAGGTGACTGAGCGACCCTACAAGGAAACATCTGAAGTGAGAAGGAGTTAGTAAGAAGACTTACTTTGTGTCTGAGGGTCCAGGTTCTTTACTGAAGCATATGGGATCATCTTTGGACCGATCACTCTTCATAGACAGACAGCTGGGTACAGGAGAATCTGCTCTCTGTCTGCTCCACTCAAATCTGCAATAACAAACTTTTGTTATATTTCCATCACATGAATACCTTTTTAGATACCACAGCAACAAAAAACAGAAGTCTGGGCACCCAGACGAGGTAATGTTCTTGTTTTGAATGAGCAACCTGCACACAGTGGTGATACAGAAAAGATCACTGTGTCATGATTCCTGTTTAGTTTCATATTTGGTTCATTTCAGTGTTAAGAATTCACATCCTCTTTTATTTTGTATTGTTCTTCCCTCATGTTGTGTATTTCCTGATCTTATTCCTGGTTAAATGATTTTTTTTATCTCTTTGGTCTGTGTGTTTCCCTTCAGTTTTGATTGCCCTCATTGGGTACTTCTCATGTCTATTATGTTTTGTTTCCTCTCTCCTCGATCCTCACTTGAAGAATTTAATAACGGAGAAAAGACGGACATTAAATAGACACTAAACAGACCATCAGACATTGAAACAGACTGTAAACATGTGTCAGTTTGTGATGAGCTGGGATTAAAGAAGTGTTTGACATGAAGAGTAACAAAGAAATTTGAAGTATTAGTCTATAATATCTGTTGGGGTTGTATCAAGTCAACTTTGGTTACATTCTTTAATAATTATATTTAATTATTAATAATATAAATATAAATATCATTAAACTATGTTTTATCTCTCTTGGGGCACCACCCTGTAATCAGGTAAATATAACCAAAATATCACTCAAATCAGTCTCAAATTAGTTATTTAATTACTAATATTATTAATAATGAATAACTATATTTAATAAATTGAAGGCGTGAAATCCGTACACAAAGCCTTCGCACCCAGCTTATATCACAATGCAAATACACCAGTAATCACAAACAACTGCTCTCTTAAATTATAACAGAATTTATTTAAACAAAGCAACACCAATCCAAAATCAATGAACTTAATCAAACAAATAACTATTATAAACTAATCTAAGCAACAAACATTATCAAGCAAGGCTCTCAAGAGAGAGAGAGAGGGGGGGAAGAAAGGGGGGGGGGATTGCTCCATCCCACGTGGTCGCCCTTCCGATGGCGCACACCTAACAAAGACCTGACATGGTCTATTGTCTAAAGAGACCGAGTTCGGCCCTACACGATCTGTGTCTCTGAGGCGTCTGAATTGTAGGCTGTAAATATTACTGGACGAACCCTGACCCGTCTGTGACATAGGCAGCAAATGAGTCCAATCGACGGCCGCATCCATATTGGATTTGCAGTCTCAACCTAACTTCGGATCAACCTAACGACAGCAGTAAGGCGGGACCGGCGGGACTTAACTCCGCCCATTCAGCTCGACGTTAGCAGTCCACTTGACAGCATAGCTAACGGCTAGGCTGCTATCATCAACTATTCCTGCTCGTCCTGAGAAAACTCTACAAACAGTAAGTTAACATTTAACTTTTCTACAACACAGTTAAAACTAATTATATTCAACCCAAATATTTAATTAAAGTCTTAAAACTACACTTTTTTAAATATACAATTATGTTTATGAGTTATTTGTCAGAGCAGTTAGACTTTGTCAGAGTTAGCAGAGCAATACATTAACAAAGTTTTATCCATAAACTGTAAATAAATATGAGACATCCAGAAGAAATCAATATTACAAAGCATACAGTTCATGTTACTGTTCTGACAAAAAGAGGAATGTCTGTGTTTTATATTCACTGATGTGAACAGCGATGAGGTGAACATGACAATTGAAAAATAATTATTTAGTATTTATTATAAGACATTTGTTTTCTATTGAACCCCGTGAAGTCATGGAGTCTGTGGACAGTGTCAGCTTCACACCAAAAACTTTAAGTATTAGAAAAAATAATGTTTAAGACTGGCATCTATTATTATGAGTTGCAGCTACCTTGTTCAATATTATTCCTGCAGATGTAGCTAATAACAACCTGAGCTGTCACATGTAGTTAACTGTACATGTTGTCTGAGGCATTAATTGAACACCTTTGTATTTCTCTTATAGACACAGTGTGGATTATTGGTGACTGGTCCGTCGAGGTGCCCAGAGAGCTGCAGAGACAGAGGAAGAAACCTGAGCCTCAACAACATCTGTATTTGTTGGTTCTTCTGGGGTGGACTTTGGTTGCTTCTCTTCAACAGCTCGCTGTGAGGGAGGTCTCCCCCGGATGGCCTGAGTGATGTCACCCACAGACTGAGAGCTGAGGCGGGTTTTAAACCTCCTGACAAACCGTTACACCGCGCCCACCTGTCAATCAGGTCAGCTACACGCCTTATTGTGAATAACTCTTATCCTTCATCAAATCAAAACTGATGAGTCATCAAAACATTCACCCCCCGTACAGTGTGTGTCCATCCAGACATGAGCTAATCACACCTATTTGGTTTTTTGAACCAGGATGTAAACATGTTCATCTCTGCTGTAAAAACAGGCTTTTTTTAATGTTGTTTTTCAGATTAAATAAATATTTCTATATAAATGCACTCCTTTATGTCTACTTATGAGTATACATTTCAGATTTGAAATGACAAGACTAAAATGTGCATTAATGCTCAACTCAATAGCTTAGGGAAGGAAGTCTACTTTTACACAACTTCTTATTCTTTTGACATTTTTTTTTACCAAATACTAATGTAGTTCATTTCTGAAAGTGGGATGGAACAGAGTCAGTGCAAAAATTTGTCCTTAAACACAGCCCCATTCTTAAATCAAGATACATGGAGAGTAAATAAGATCAATAACTTGTGAATAAAAAAACAGTTAAAAATGATTTAGAAATGTAGTCTTCCCTGATCAATATCACATAATATCAACTTCTCCCATCTAAACTGGACAAAGGGTTTTAAAATGGGAAGAAAATGGTTTGATTGCAAGTTGTTTGGAGGAGATCTATTTTTATTTGAACAGCATGAATACAGTCTTCCAAGGTGCAAACCCTCCTCCTCCTCCTGAAGCTTGTGGAGCTCCTTCATGTACTGCTGTCTTATCTGCTGGCCATCTTCTCTCAGCAAAACTTCGACTGTTGAAAAGTCATTCAGAAGAAGTTTGAGCATGTGACATGGATCCAGGAGAACATGGACTTTTAGTGAGGGGTCTTCAGGATGGCAAAGAAAGAGGGAAAATATCAGTTATTCATTAAATCATTTTTTTGTTCTCATCTATTTTTCTGTATTCATCTGTGTGTAAGAGCACATTTATAAATTCAACAGTGTACTACCCAGACAACAAAGGTCCAGTATTCAGGTAATCAACATCTATTCAAAGTTAATAAGATAAACATTATTGTAATCATGCTGTTTTCAGCTCTCTCACTCACTCACACAATGATATTCCACATCAAATTGTCTCAGATTTTGTGAGGAAAATTAAGCAGTTTATTGAGGCTAGTACTTCATCTTAACATGAAACAAATATAACCTGAATTATTTAAATCATTAACAGGTCCCAACTCTCTGTGCTTCAGTACAGAACATACAGTAACTCATTTATTATTAACATGAGCTCAGTACATGGCTGTATTCTTCAAACTATTTCTTATACTTTATATCTATGTGCTTTATATCTTATTTTCATTCCACATGTTATTTATATTTTATATTTCTACTGCTATATTCTGTGTAAGAGCATCTGTAACGATTAAGAAATATATTAATAACCATATCAAATTTACCTGAACTTGTAAAAAGTGATTTTTTTAAAAAAATTTGTTAACAGTTTGCGCAAATCTTAAGACACTACATCAACCATGTAACTTTAATGTCATCCTCTATAACCTACACAGCACATTAGGTTCAGTTCAGTTTATGTTACTGACGGATAATTACTACACAAAGTTTGTTTTTTAATGTCCACATTTAGGTGGAGTATAACATTCATCATAACGTCAGATAACCACCGAGGTGAACCTTTAGCTTCTAACATCACACTAACTCATTATTTTCAACAACAACATCTTAACAAACATTTCTAAACCATTGACTGTAAATAATGTAAATAATGAGCTACACAGTTAGCCGACTGGTTTACAAGCTAACTCTAAACAAGCTAGGTCTGTAAATATAAACACATGAGTAAGCAGTAAATATAACACTACTATATCACTTACCGAAGAAAACTGAAGTATCAACTTGTTGGATGGTCTGTTAACCGCACAGCAAGCCATGTATGTTGTCAGATATGTGTTAAACAAACTCTCCAAACGAAGTAAGAAAGAGGAGAAATCAGACGGATCAAGCTGTTAGCCTCCTGACCTCCTGACCTCCTGACCTGCTGACCTCCTGACCTGCTGACCTGGCAGACAGATGCAGCGTGCACAGCTGTCAATCAAATCTGCCACATCCCTAATATGGGCATAGCCGTTTTACTTAATAGAATAAAATCTGATGAGGAGAAGGGGCCGTCAACTTCTCAGATATATCTCGTTTTTTGAACCAGGCTGTAAACATGTTGATTCCTGTGGTAAAAACGGGCTTTTTTGGCTGTGGGCTTATGGCACTTCCGGCGCTTCTGCAGCCAGCCTCAAGAGGAACCTCGAGGAACTGCAGTTTTTTGTACTTCCGCATAGGCTTCATTTTTTGAGACCGGAGGTTGCCCCTTGGTACTGAATGTACAGTGTACAGATCTGTGTGAGTGTGTAGCCTATGTGTGTAATGGCGCAGTGGTGGAGTTAGTCTTCAGATGTGCGTCTACACGGGAATATGTGTGTGTGTGAGTGTGTGTGTGTGTGTGTGTGTGTGTGTGTCTGTGTGCGTTAGTGAAAGGGGGAGAAAAGAAAGAGAGAAATGCGTGCCTGAAGAGGCCGGATCACAGTCCGACTCCCGCGCCACAACTCGGAGTAATTCCCTTCATTCACAGAAACAAACCAATAGCCGAATTCAGGTTAATACAGCTTACACTGGCCTTTCTGATCAGAAGAGTAATACCCGGTTATAACGCTGTTACGCTAAACACATATAGGACGCAGCGGTCCGAAACAACAACAAGAGTTTTAAACAGTTAAAACTCAGGACGCAGGTCCAACAAAGATAAAAATTACAGTTTCTGCTTCGATCAACAATTGTTAAAAACACTCTCTAAAGCTAATTCTGCCCAGACCTAATTAAGCCTCACTTGTGAATCGCTTTGTCCGAGATTGGTGAAAGGAAAAGAGTCCGGCGATGGAGCAGATCTTCTGTCCGTCCTGGTGCAGAGGCGTCTGATGGCGGCGAGGGTCCCTTACGGCGAGAGCGGCTTCGTTGGTTCTCCGTCGAGTGGAAAGATGTCCTTTGATGTCCTTTCGTTGCAGGACGGAATAAGACCGTTATCTTTCTGATAATCTGTTATAGTCTGACGCTCTCCGAGAAACTGAGATGCGTTCACTGGACAATCCGAGCTCGGAATTTAGAACACTGCCGGCCGCGGATTACCTGCGCGCCAAAACTTAAAACAAAGGAAGATGGTTGCAGAAAACAGGAGGTGAGCTTGTGTCTCCGAACACTTGAAGTCAGTGCGTGGAAAGAGAGAGAACAATGGAAGACTTGGAGCTTTTGTAGCCTGGCCTGCTTCCTGTGGGGTCTACCTCAGGTCCCCTCCAATGAGGAGAGAGAGGTTCCGGTCCCCGCCAACTTCACACGTAGGTGTGAAGTATTGCAGGGGATTCTGGGATTAAGAGTCCTTTTAGGTCTCAGTGAATAACTCACATGAGGCTTCTCACAGAGATGCAGGCCCAAATCCATTGTTTGCCTGTCTTAAGCCTGCATGGCCCAACATATCAATATCGTTCAGCACCATATCTTATGTCAATAAAGGACTCCATCATTAGAACAGCTCATATTTATTTTCATGATCACTCATACTGTTTGCTCTTTTTAATTTAATCATGATGAGAATGAGTCAGACAGAGTGGGAGGAGTCAGTCAGAAACACGTTTTACATTCATGATCGTTAACGATCGTAGAGTTTGAAAATGTTCTGCATCCTGTTGTCAATAATCCTGAGACATCCTAAGTGTTTATAAAAAACAGAGTTCACTGTCAGATTATCAGTAAAAACTAATAACTAATAAATAATCAAATATTAAAGCTTTGTGTAGAAATGGTCTGTGTGTTTGTTTTATTAGCAGACTGCAGGTTGTTCTTCTTGTGCAGGTGTTTGTTATCAGGTAAAGAGACTAAACACTGTTACTGTGTGTATTTGATTAGAAATAATACAAACAGCTGTTAAAGACGACTGACAGCTGAGCGGTGATCAGCTGATGTCATCATCACAAATGGACGTCATGTCTCTTAAAACACATTTCCTCGTTCCTCTCTGCTCTGCTTCGTTTCCAATTTAAGAGACATGAGAAGTACCCAAAGTCAAGTTTTTCTGATGAATGTGACACACTGGACAAATACTACAACATTTGACAAACAGGAAATATGGATGACAGGAATATGAGGAGGATTTTTTTAAATGATCGATTGATTTCTCGTTAAATCAGAAAGTTTAAGATAGCAGATTGATTGAAGTAGAAATTAAATCTTAAGTGTAATGAGTTGGTAAGTTTTCTTACTTTGTGTCTGAGGGTCCAGGTTCTTTACTGAAGTATGGAGGTTCATGTTTGGACTCATCACTCTTCATATACAGACAGCTGGGTACAGGAGACTCTGCTCCATCCTCCTCGTCCTCTAAACACACGTCCATGTTCTGATCTGAAGTCTGAGAGGAAAAAAGAGACACTCACTGAGAGATCAACACACACCAAACAAGAGAAACCAGTTTGATCTAACGCCACAACCAAGAGACACACCCACACACCCACACACACACATCATATTAATCTCAGTTGTGACTTCATTTGAAACTCTCTCTGTGTTCAGTTCTCAGGAGAAAACTGAGACTAAACAAGAGAAACCAGTTTGATCTAATGCCACATCCATCCGACCTGCAATCACTGACAGTTTGATGGGAACCGAGTGGCCTCGAGGCTGGAGAGAAAAACCCCTTTTCCACCAACGGTCCCCAGAACTAAAAGTTCCAGGGACTTCAAAGAACTAAAAGGTTCCTGTGGCCCATAGTTGAATATATTATATTATATATTATATATTTGAATATCAAGTTTATTTTTTGTTCAGTTCCTGTTTTATTTTGAAGTTTCTGGTCTCGGTTTACTTCCTCCCTTTTTGATTGCACTCATTGTCCTCACTTGTGTCTCGTCAGTCTCACCTGTGTCTCGTCAGTCTCACCTGTGTCTCGTCAGTCTCACCTGTGTCTCGTCAGTCTCACCTGTGTCTCGTCAGTCTCACCTGTGTCTCGTCAGTCTCACCTGTATCTGATTGCCCTCTGTGATTAGTCTCTGTGTTTCTGCTCTTCGGCCTCTCTTTATGTTTTGTGTGATGTCTCCTCGTGGCTCCTTTTCGTTTCTCCTTTTGGGCTTTTGTTGGACTTTTGAAAAGTAAGACTTATTCAGCTTATTTGTTCAAATATAGAAGAAATACGTCAGTGATGCATGACTTTAAGCTGTAAGGAATGGAGGACTGGACTGACAGACGGACCGTCAGATAGATAGATAGATAGATAGATAGATAGATAGATAGATAGATACTTTATTGACCCTGAGAGAAATTCAGAGCGTCCAGTAGCAGCTAGAGACACAAACATGAAACTTTTGTTGCATCTGACAACACGTTAATTAAAGAAACCTCTACAGAGATCAACATTAAACATGTACAATTAAAAACTAGAACTGAACCAAGAAAATGTTGATGACCCGAGCAGGAGTAAGAATGTGTATCATTAAAAACATCAGACCTGTCCAGATTAGAGTCGATCTACAGCTGTACAGCAGAGATGAGTCTGTGACACTTTAAAGGAGCAACTCTGACACCTAGTGTTTAAAATGAGTACTGCAGACCAAATTCAAAACATTGGCCCTTTCTGAATATCCACAGTTCAGTAGTCAGTACTTTTCAGTAGGAGTTTCAGTAGACTGAACCCTCGTGGTCATTCAGTGGTCATTTTTTGGGTCCACCTCAGTATACTGAACATTTCAGTATGGATACTAACTTCCTGGTTTCATGCAGTATGGATCGGATGAATCCTTTCAATGCAGTGCGAAATTAAATGTAAATCAAATCGTCACTTCATGTGCGCCTCCAAATCAAAACAAACGAGCGTGGATTAATTTAATACATCTTTAATCTAGAGTTAAAGTCCCGACTGAAATCACTACTTTAAATTAACAACAGAAAATATAACAAAGGTCTGCATTATAATAAAACCTTTCCCCCTCTATTTAAATAATGATTTCACTATTTAAATAATGATTTCACTATTTAAATGTGTCTTCATTGGTTTATTTTATATTCTGTATATTACTGTCTTTCATTTGTTCTTTATGTACTGTATGTTATTTAGTTATTTAATCTCACTTCATTTACATTGTGATATTGTTTTTTTGTAATTGTAATTTATTACACTATTTACAATATTTAAATAATTAAAAGTGAGGAGATAACAGCATTAGTAACCATGGTTACACTTCACCTCTGAGTGTAACTGTACTGCCCATCACTCTCGCTCGTCTCTCCCTCTCACGCTGTAAACCCACTTCACTTCAACGCTGTAGCACCCTCAGCACCCTCAGCACCCTCAGCACCCTGACTTCCTCCCTGGGCTCATGTGTCAGTAAGCTACATTTATTTATTTCATTTTATGGGGGAAAATGCCCTCTTGGAATTTTTAAGAGCCCCTCAGTCATTTCATCCTGCCAGACCTGGACAGAGCTGCACGCTGGCACCCTCGTGTGGCCAGATGGATAATGACACACGAGGGCCGGGCAAACACTGAGCACTTGAATATTTCTTCAGCTGTGATGGGAGTCATATGTGATCATGCATCTCTCATGAATCCACATCTGGAGTCGTATGTTTACATTTTCTCTCAAGATACTCAGATTCATCAATCGGCTTATTTCAGTTATTTTCTGCTGTTTTCTGCTGTCATTGCTCGTTTAGGAGGCTTCACCTGTCTCCTCTGCCATGCATCCATCCATCCTTCCTCAATCTATCCTCCATCCTTCCTTCATGCATCCATCCATCCATCCATCCATCCATCCATCCTTCCTCAATCTATCCTCCATCCTTCCTTCATGCATCCATCCATCCATCCATCCATCCTTCCTCAATCTATCCTCCATCCTTCCTTCATGCATCCATCCATCCTTCCTCAATCTATCCTCCATCCTTCCTTCATGCATTTATCCATCCATCCATCCTTCTCAATCTATCCTCCATCCTTCCTTCATGCATCCATCCATCCTTCCTCAATCTATCCTCCATCCTTCCTTCCTTCATGCATCCATCCTTCCTTCCTCAATCTATCCTCCATCCTTCCTTCATGCATCTATCATCCTTCCTTCCTCAATCTATCCTCCATCCTTCCTTCATGCATCCATCCATCCTTCCTCAATCTTTCCTCCATCCTTCCTTCATGCATCCATCCATCCTTCCTTCCTCCATCCTTCCTTCATGCATCCATCCATCCTTCCTCAATCTTTCCTCCATCCTTCCTTCATGCATCCATCCATCCTTCCTTCCTTCATCCTTCCTTCATGCATCCATCCATCCTTCCTTCCTCCATCCTTCCTTCATGCATCCATCCATCCTCCCTCCATCTATCCTCATCCTTCCTTCATACATCATCCATCCTTCCTTCCTCAATCTATCCTCCTTCCTTCCTTCCTTCATGCATCCATCCATCCACTCATCCTTCCTTCCTCCATCAATCTTCTATCCTACCTTCCTTACTACCTTCTTTCCTCCATCCTTCCATCCTCCCTCCCTTCCTCAATCTATCCTCCATCCTTCCTTCATGCATCCATCTATCCACTCATGCTTCCTTCCTTCTTCCATCAATCGTTTATCCTTCCTTCCTTACTACCTTCCTTCCTCCATTCATCTCTCATCCATCCTTCTTCCATCTTTTCTACATACTACCTTCTTTCCTCCATCCATCCTCCATCCTTCCTTCATCCTTCCATCCATCCTCACCGGCGCTGTTGCATGCTGAACACATCGTCCCTCCTCACCATGTGTGTTTGACGTCACAAACTTAGGAGGGGCTCCTCCGTGAGGCTGCTTGCTGTTTGTGGTGCTGAAACAACGCCTGAATTGTGTTGCCATTTAACCAATTTCTGTTTTTGCTCTCGCGCTTCCCCCCCCCCCTCAAAACATGCGTGTTTAATCCGAGAGTCTCCACCGAGCAGCTCACACCTGGGGCGGCGGTAAAACACGCGTTTCTAGCGGGGTTAAGAGATGGATTAGCACCGCAATGAACACAGGCAGGAGCGGTATGGATTCACGGTGGTGTCCCGTCCTCGTCGCTGCATTGGCGGTCAGCCTCTGCTCCTCACCTGCCCTGGCTGACAGAACATTTGGTAAGAATCTGTATTTTCACTTTCTCACCATTATATTGTCCATGTGTTGAATCTGTCTGTGGTGCTAAATCCACTTTACTGCCATGTTGTGTCTGTCAGGCTTTACTGTCATTTGCTCTATTTTGCAAAAGTGATTATTTAAAATAAATATTTAACTAGAGATTTGACACGTGCTGCCATCTTCCTTTTGGGCTTTGAATAACTTGTATTTGTGCTTCCTCGTTGGAGGAGAGCTCAACATCCAAGAGAAAAAGTTACATAATCCATCAGGCCCAAATATGGATGAAATCTTGGCTGTGAGACTTCGTATTTAATTTTCCAAACTATAGTTACACACACACACACACACACACACACACACACACAGAGTCACCCATGTGTTTACACCATATTTAGATTATCATGTATATCATTTCATGTCTGGGGTTTGGGGACTCAACACACAGCCTGGAGGAGCATGCTATTTTCAATCCACTTAAATATTTCATAATATCTTATCCTACGCCTCCATGGAAGAAAGAGCATCTTTCATCCCCCCCCCCTCACATTTGGCCCAGTTGTATTCACATTACCCTTGATTTGTTCCTCCAGCCCGGCCTCAGACGCTCCATGTCCAGAAAATGAGATATTATAGAAGCCATCTTGATCAATTCTGTCCTTGCAGGTTTAGAAAAGCAGACAGTCTCGGTCTCACTTACTTTAAATGTGTGTTGCCTTCATGCATGTACAACACAGTAGAAACTTTATAAGGAGCACGAGGCAGACCTTACATGTGCAGACGCTCGTCTGTGATGATTCATAAAGGCACCGAGCTGCCTTTTTATATTTAGCTTCTGATGTATGCAATACTCACCTTGTTTCTTTACAGTCGATTCACCTCTTTGCAGTTTCTGGTTATTTGTCAGCAAAGAGGCTCCAGATAAATACTGACAAACGTTGGGAGGGTTTTCTCCCTGGCTGATTTATGTGGTGACTGTTTGTGAATGAGTCCGATCTTATTCCCTGCATGCTCGAGTCTCATTCAATCCTCAGAATGGTTTTCTCTCCGTGTGGAGGAGGTCTCCATTGAAGGAGTGTGGCTGCTGATTGTTTTAAATAAGTCCCACTGAAGACCAGTTTGACCAAATCTGAGCTTTTCTAAAGCGAAGTTGTGACTCTGCAGCAGGTCGAAGTACTTAAAGCACTCAGCAAAACACTGAAACCTATCAGACGCTCACAGATGTAAACTTTTCAATGCACAACCTCTTATGAGAGTAATTCAGTTACATTATGAATAC